ATCTTGCCAGGCACGGAGGTGAGACTGACTGCATCACATTCAGTATCTTAAATGCCTCCTGTAAATCACTACAAGATCATACACAGTTCTAATCCCCTTTCTGAAGTTGTACCTGCTCTTATCTCTGTGATACATAACATTTATGTCCAGTGCTGAGGAGTCAGTGTTCTTTTTCAGTAGAGAAAACAAAACACGTAAACTGAAGTTGTATGACAGAGATGCATTAAAAGGAACACTACCGACCTTGAATAGTTGCCAGTGTACTGTTGCTCATCAGGGCCGGGCTGAGAGCACCACCTAATGTCCCTGGATTGAGACTGAGTAAGGCACCTCTGTGGGAAGCGAGATCATGGAAGAAGAAACAAAGAGAAAGGGAAAGTGTTACTTTTAAGAAAAGGTTGTCACTGTTCAGAAGTACACCATCATATTTAAAAAAAAAAAAGAAGCAGGGGGTGAAGGGAGGAGGAAAGACCAGAGATTAAGGGCTAATTTTAGTTTATTTTAGTTTTTCCTTCATGATGCCTTGAGTAGATGTTGCCTTTCAGCTGTGTGGTTAGCGACATGCCTGAAGTACAGGCACTGTAAATACACAACTTGTGTTGATTGTTGCTGTAAAATATTCTTGTAACGTATTTTGGGGAAACTGCCGCTCATTAGCGACCTATTATCATCTCCCAAATTCAGATAAGAAAGACATAAATCAAGAGGAATTGAAGAAACAAAGAGTCATCTCTCAGAGCAACATTTTAAAAACAAACTTCAACAATACATCATCATGCATCTTTTACAGTTTCTTGCTCACGATGGAGAAATGAATAGAAGTGTGAAGTAGGTCTAGGCTAGCTCTCCATTTTACAATTGGTAGAACAGATTCTATGATTGACTGGTAAGCTGCAGCTCTTAAGTCAAGCTTGGCAGTGGGATAGATGACTTAACAAATAACAACAGTGCTGCAACACAGCTTTTTCATCTGTAAAATGAAAACAGTATTTGTATACATTGATGGGAATGGCCAATTACCATCTATAAGCAAACCTTCAGAACTTAAGATAAATGGCACTAGGATCACCAAGTGAGCTACCAGAAAAATACATATACATAAAAGCAATTTATCCCAAGAATTCTCCTTCCTTCTTCTGTCATCTCACCTAAAAGGGTATGAAAAATTCATCCTTACCCAGCTGCAAACTGCGAGGATGCCATCAAGCCTGGGTTTAGTCCTGCTGCAGCAGCCATGGCAGCAAGACTTGCATTTGCAGGCAACTGTGCAGCTCCTTGTAACGCGGCTGCTGCCGCTGTTTGCAACCCTGATGCCGTTACCATCACCTGGCTGGTCCCAAGAGGGGAGGACAAGGGAGTGGAGGTTGTCTGTGTTGTGCTGGTCTCACTGGCACTGGATGCCTCTGAAGTGGAGGCTGAGGCAGAAGGGGAAGGACTCAAGGAGGGTGATGTCACTGCTGAAGAAGCTGGAGGTGCTGTTGAAATCACTGTTGCTGTGTTGTTGGAGGTGGTTTCTGTTGTGCCTACAAGATTGATTCTGGTTAGAACAGTACAAAACACAGATCTGATTGAACAGAAACCAGTACCCACCTGAACTGCACTGCACATACAACTGAAAGGGAGACAAACACAAATTTCTGTAGGACCAAGAAGCACCAAAAGTCCAAATGAGAAGTTCAGACTATAATGAAATGGCACTTCCCAATAGGAGGCTCAGGAGCTCTAGAAGCTAGCCATGGTATATAGCATATTTCATTTCAGCATCACCTGTGGTTTATCCCCAGAAAAGTCAACTGACTGGTCACAAAGACTGAAGTTTCCTAGTGGAGTAACAAGGAGCAATGACAAGAATGTCCTGGGATACCAGTGACCAATACTGAACGACCTTTTGGAGAGTCTAAAAGGGGAAAATGGTAGAGGTTAACGTGGGAGCAAGAGAAATCAGCCCTTACCTGTGACTGACAGACTAGTTACAGCAGGACTGGTCAGAGGGAGCACAGGATTGACAGTCAGGGTTGTAGCTGCACTGCTAGTCACAAGGCTTGGCGTGGTTGCCACCTGGAGGTCAAAAAAGAACACAACTGCTCAACTCTTGTTGAAAGACAAAGTTAGCTACTTGTATTTCTGTCTTCCCATCCTCAGCTGAGGAAGTTATCAGGGAAAACACTGCATATAAACTAACTTTTTTGTTAGTTACTTTATCATTCAGTGGACCAACCATAGTATCTTCTCTAATTACCAGCAATATCTTTATTCTTAATCATTCAATATTTGAAGGGAGATACATCCATTACATCCATAATGTCTCAGGACTGCAAGCTAGCCCTCCCTCTCTGCCTCCCCCCAAAGACCACACCTTGTTTGAATAGTCACTCTTATCAAAAGAGTTACAAAATATATTATTTCTGCATGTTTTTGGGTTTTTTTCTTGTTTAAACATCTTCTCTGGCATTACCAAAGGTATGTAGGGTAATGTGTTTACATGGATAAACAGAGTAACATTTCACTTTCACTCAGCCAAACTATATGCTCTACTTTGATAAGTTGCCTTGTGCCAGAGGAAGGATCTCTGAATTTTAAAACATTCAAATGACACTAGCTAATTTTACTTGTGGACAGCTTATTATGAGGAAGCTACAATAAACTGAAGACATTACAGATAAAAAACATGAAAGATTTAAGGCTGGAGGAACTAGCTTAGGAGCAAAAAATTAAATATAAAGAGATAAAGGGCTTTTTATGGACAAGAAATGGTGTCCAACAGTAATATTTGAAGGCTGTTATACATCAGTGAAATGAATCCTTTACAATTGCCCAAGAGAACATAGCCAAGGATATAGGCTAAAATCTTTCTCCTTTCCCCTCTCTTACCTTAAGACTATTATCAGAGAAATCTCTCATGCTGTGTATCCTCTGATAGGAAGTCAAATGCTTCATGCATTTTAAACAAGACTGGGGCAACTGGGACAAATCTAAAAGCTTTCTGACCATCTCAAACAGCGTATGAAATAAAGAGCTAGATACATAGTACACTTCCCATTAATGCAGCCCAGACATCATAGCTGTCATCTGTCCAGTTAAGGCCAATGTCACAATCCATATTTCAGGGCAGTGGATGACCTAGAATTAATACAGCTAACCCTGTGGTTACAATGACTGACTTCAGCCAATACGAAAGTAGGCTGGCGTCAAAAGGAGCATTCCCCTCCAATCTGGCTTCAGAGACCTAGCTCTTGTGCAGCCAGGCTACAAGTCAGATTGGTTAACTAGCCATACTGAAAAGTCATCACTGTTCTTCGCAGGGCTAATCTGCAGTCAAACTAATAAACTAAGCTGAATCATCCTATGCACACAAAATCTCCAGAGCTGACACAAGGAATCAACAAAGCACACCAGTGAAGGCTTGGGGGAGCAGGGCTGGAACATCCATTTGAATGGCAGCACAGTCTATATAGAGAACCGTACAATGAGTGAAACATCACTGAAAAAATGGAAATGGTGGTTAACAACTCAATTTCTTACATACAAGGGCAGTTTCTTAATAAAAGGGAAATTTTTGTAGGAAAGGTTTCTTAAGTTGGAGTCTGAGTAAACTTACACTGTTACTAAAACACACTATCATAAATCTCACTATGTTCTGCTTTGGTAGCAAGGCATACAACCTTGCTTTCCAATTGGAAAAAAAAAAAAAGAATAGTTTTAAAAAAAAGACTAAGCACATTTAACATGTCCCTTCCCCTGAAACAAAAGGTTGCATGCACACATCCTGAGACAAGGATGAGGGGAAAGAATGACATATCACCAAAATTAATGGTTTAATGAAGTAGGGGAAGATATTAGCTACTACAGTGATGAAGGTGGAATAAATACTACAAAAGGACAGCTACAGGCTACATAAATTCCACCACATTCCTATTAGCATAGCTACTATGAAATCTAATAGCTACTGTTTCTATTTATGAAAACAGACCTCCATGGACATTGGTAGCAAAGGAGCTGAAGGAACCTTGATGCATGTGTTTTGTTACTCTTATTTTCATGAAGTTTGTGTTTACCTGAGGCAGATACAAGTGTGGGAAATTAATTACATGAGCATTAGCTAAATTGTTCCTTTGTTCCATGTCTTTTTTATATAATTCATTCCTGACTAAAAGCGACAATAACAGCATCATTGGATTTGTGTGATTTAAGTCTCCAAATAATACATTTTACTGCTGCTTATCTACTTATCAGAGCAGCCAAAAGAAGAGGGGAGGGGTAGAGCTGTTAAGCATTTTTTCATTACTATTATTTTACCAAAAAAAAGTTTGGCCAAGAGAGAAAGTCCAGACATAAACTGGAGTTACTATCTGGAATATGTTCAAAGCAATAACTTCAACTGCAAATTTGCTAGTCAGAATATTTACTCACAAGCTGACCAAATAAAACACCTAAACTGAAGGCCCAACTAGTGCCTCATTTGTAAGCATTACCTCTCATACAGTATGCAAGTAGGATATTTAAAATACCAGTAAAATACAAATTTGTGAGAACAAGTCTGCTGTACAAAGAAGGAGTAGCATGTGCAACTTCCACAGTAAGCACAGTAGAACTATCACTTCCAGTGATCTTTGTCAACACAGTCTCTTGATTCTTACCAGTGAGGTTGGGCAAGGGAAAATTGCTTTGATGGGCGAGCTGCTGGTTCCACCACTGCTGGGTGGGTTGATCCTTTTCTCCTTCTGGCGCCGGTTACAGAACCAAACGCGGATCACCTCCTTCTCCATGTTTAGCTGGTCAGCTATCATGGTGATCTCATCCGAGGTAGGCTTTTGGTTCTGAGAAAAGGAAACAGTACTTGAAAAGCTGTGAAATTACCTTCTGAAGTTTTACATTACAGCTGCTTCTTCACTAGGCAGAAATCTGGATGGGCCACTTATATCCAGAATCTGGTCCAGTGATACAGCAGAGATAGACCATAATAGATACTTCTGCCCTCCATCTTCCTAGTTACAGGAACATTTCTACCAATAGTAAGTTGTGATCCTCAGAGGTGGGTGGTGAAGACTAAGCTCACATGCTTCTTTTTGAGAGAAGGGATTTGACTTGTGAGTTAATCCTTCAAGGAATTCTAGACCTTGATAAGGAAATCCTTCTTTCAGCATCTCTCAAAAAGGAATAGGAGAGACTAACTATAGCAATAGCCAAATGAACCCCAAGTTGTCTAGACCTAGAATGAAAAACAGTTGGATTGAGTGGGCTACTTACAGAGGCTATCTGCCCATACAGCTGCACAAAGTGCCTAACAGGAGTAACATAAGGCCAGCTAAAAACCTCATATTGTCTATGTTTAGACTGTCACCCCATTTGTCCATCCTCAGAAAGGGTAATCTTTTTTTCTTCTTTTTGATGTGCAGAATATCAAGCTTAGATCTATGGCCCAGTATCTTGGAATGCAAAATCACAGTCAGTGAATTGCAAGAACCAGAGTTTTTTTGGAGAGAATTTGTGGTTGTTTTTTTTGTTTTTTAAGTGAAGTAGATGTTGATGCAGGCTTCTTGGCACAGCCTTTGTATTCACCTTGCTTAGTACACACAGTTTTCTAAATAGCACAGTAATGGGTTCACTCTAACAGATATGATTATTAAGCAAAGTTTCTTCAATTCTTTATAGGCTGAGCAGAGTAACAGGATCACTGACCTCCAGGAAACTCTTCTCTAAGGCCACACGTATGTTGGTCTCTATGCTGGTGCGTTTCTTCCTCCTACGGTTCAAGCCTTCCATCCCTAGCCCTGGAGAATTCAGGGCACTTGGGCTGGAGAGAGTTGAATCAGATGAGAGGTTTTCTGAAAAAAGAACGTAGCATAAATCAGATTTTATTTGAATGCAGTACAGCCTAAAGCAAATGTTCTTCATCCGTGCAAGGTTTGTTAAAACCCACTCTGTATCTATTCCAGATATACAGAGATTTCTGACGATCACATGCATTAATTGTTGTACTTGTAATTTACAACATACACTTGAAATTTAAAAGCTACAAGTAAGCCCAGGGGGTGCTCTCTGCTTCTGTATGCTACCACAGTGTCCCTTTTGTAATACCTATACAAACTCTGTCTCCCTTACCTCATTCCACCTCACACTCATTCACAAATCACAGTATAAAGAAAAAAAGCAGTAACTGATATCCATGAGCCACAGCTGTAAATCACAGGCAATTATGAAAAAATCTGAGCAGCCTGAAATTTCTTTTACCCACTCTGGAATACTCTAGAGGAAGAGGAAGTTCATAGCCAGCATCACAGTTTTCAACAACTTCTCTCTGGAGATCTTAGCAGATACTCAGTGCTATGCAGTTCTACCAAACTGCTTACACCCACTCCTTAGCTTCACTAGGTCTATAGCTGTCAACCTCTAATCCTGTCTTTCTGACTCCACAGAAGAGCAAAGAGAGAACAGGCTTGACCTCACTATGTAGCAGAAAGTGCAAAAGAACCAACGGGCAGGTTCCAGCTTGGAATTTAAACAAAATTATTAATTATGGCACTGGAATTTGTGGGTGATAAGTAGGTGTCAAAGTTCAAAATACCCAAGACCAATGGTAGGCTCAAATGGGCAAGTACATTCAGCTCATTATTTTCTAGATTTTTTTAAATTATTTTGTTTCCCCGAGTAATGGCACCCATAAATGAAATTTTCTCCATCCTGAAAGCCCCACAGGACAAGCTGAGTTCTGTAACAACAAATTCTTTAACACTGCAATGTAACGTAATGGAAAGGATTATTGGTATGCTTCTCCTGCCTGCTTTTATCTAAAAGTAGCCTTTAAAGTCATCTGAATCTTTCTTCCAAATATTTTCATGAAACTTAATCGGAGTCAAAGACAATGGTTCCCACTCTCCAGGCTGTGAAGGACCCTGACACTGTTTACAGTCCTTAGCTTAACTTCACAGATCCAAGTATTTCTTCAGGCTAACAGGAAAAGCAAACTATGGCATTCCTTGCAGCACCGGACTCATCCAGCGTTGCTGGAAGGTTTGGGGACCACTAGAACACTCAGTATGAAGATCTTTATTTTTGCTATCACAGATCTAGGTTACCTAAAGATAACCCCTGTCAGCACAACAGAATGACACTTCCTTGTTTCAATGCAGGACAAATTTTCAACACTGCATCCAATTACTTTCAAAATTCCAGAGAATACTGTAGGCGCCAGCATAAAGCTCTCTTCATTTTGGTAAAAATAGGAAGGCACACACCATCCCTGCCATCTGTTTAGCAGATCCATCAGCTTTATACTACGTACAGTTGTATACTTGGAGGAAAAAACTGACTGACAGCACTCTTAAACACTTTCTATCCTAACACCTAGCACCACCATCCAAGCTCCTTTTGCTGGTGGGGGAAAAAAAAAGGAAAAAAAAAAAAAAGAGAGAACAAAAAAAGAACACTACCAACATTTGCATTATGAATAACTTATATCCCAGGAGAAAACAAGTCTGGAAGGAAAAAGTGAAACCTAACTCACAAAAAACTCTTCCTATGAGGAGAAAGAGAGTGTCTATATGGACCCTTGGAGAGAGATGAAAAGAACGCACATAGGGGTGTGGGAGGAAACGAATGCAGTAAGCTCTGCCTACTGAAACAACAAATCATGCAACCCTCTCTCTACTATACATCTGAAAAAGAAAGCTAGAAGAGGATTAGAAGTTATATGCATTAACGTACATGAAAGACAGAAAACGTGACACATTATACCTCACCCCATGCAATTATTCAGCTGGCTGCAGAACACAATTCTGAAAGCTCATACTGGAACGATTTCGGATGTGTATGGGCACATGAAAAGGGAAGTATGGACCCTTAGTCCTACACCCTTGTTTGACCCATGGACGGTTACAAAGATTGGTGGCTTCATAAAACCGTAAGGGCACAAACAAAGCAGTTTTTCAGAATCCTACTGATTCTGAATATACTGATAGGCTGGTGAAGAAATACACAGACTCATTCACCTGCATCATTGAGCCACTTTTCCAGAAGTGGCTTTAACTTGCACATGTTCTTAAAGCTGAGGTTCAAGGCTTCAAAGCGAGAGATGGTAGTTTGGCTGAAGTCATTTCCATAGAGTTTGCCCATAGCGAGCCCAACATCACCCTGGACAAAGAAAGAGAAAAAAGGGATTCACTAACATAGGCACTTCCAAAGCAAGGTATCCTGTCACATTCTTGTGTTCTCTTAGTGATTCCACTACTGCGTGGGATTTCAGTTTCATAGAAACTTGCTCGGGCTACCAAGATTCATGCTAAACCAAATATCATAAAGAAATGTCAAGCCTCAGTCAATTTAACCATGTAACTCTTTCCAGGAAATCCCTGATGCTTTGTCTTAGCATTATCACTGAACAGAACATTCCACTAAATATTAACTTGTGATTTTTTTCTTACTTTTTAAAAATAAGTAAAGGCCAAGTTCTCTTTAGGAGCAGATTTAAGTATCTGCATATTTCACACCAAAGAAGAAAAGTTCAAATAAGAAGAAAGGCAGTGAATTCATGATCTCAAATTAGTAGAAAACACTCTTGAAAATATGTCTGCAAACATGTATCACATTTAAAAAGATGCAAAAATATTCTTATCTGAATTTTTAGTATCTTCTGAGGTTCAAACCAAACTTCTCCCCTGTGGGGATACACATTTCAAAGTGAACAAGAAGTTGAACCATTTCAAATAATGATTAACTCCAGTCTTGACTACCATTACGCATCTGCCAAAAAGCTATCCAGGAGATTTACAGACAGATGATCATCTCTTTATATCTGTTCTCCTTTTCAAAACTCAGTTTTAGCTAGCTATCAGACATTCTGCTTATCCTAATATATATATACACACACACACACATCTATGTAGTTTACACTTGCAAAAATCTTGTTTAAAAAACAAACAAACAAATAAATAAACAAAATCCATTCTTGATTGTGGCCATTAAAAACACGATAACGTTTTCTCATTTTATTTTAAAGCTGGAAGGTCTTGCCCTTTGAAAATATGTCTTATTTTTTAAGTATGCTATTTGGTCTAAAGTAGTTTAATTTAGATTTTTCTTTTGCAACACAAAAAAAAGTATGAAAAGTCTAGAAGAAGAGACTGAAAAGCTTGAGCATAGTTAGTGGAGTTTAATTGCAAGTGGGTTAGTGGGATTGTGCGTAAAGCTGGCTCGCTTTCCTTGTAGGTCAGATCCACAACCACAGCTTGATACAAGTATACTAATAGCATGCAGAGTGGCCACATCCAAGCGAGGAAGAAAACAACCTTTGGTAAGCTTCGTAAATTGTGCAGGTGGCATAAAGAAAACAATTTCCTTCCTAGAAGAGGACCAGAACAATTGGTTTGTACATCCTTCAAACAGAGGAAACACGTGGGAACTCACATTTATACCTCTACCCATATGCCAGGATTCCGTGCGTTTTAAAACTCATAAATCATTTCAAGCGAAGTAACAGGGATGCTCTACTGGGTTTATGAAGAAGAAAACCTGGCTATGTAAACCATTTTAGAGATAAGTTGATTTATGTCTTGGCAGGAAAGAATTATGAAATTTGCTCCAGTCCCCCGACTAAATTTAATTCTGGTATTTATGTTGTTCTTACTAACAATTGTCATCTGATTTAAAATGAATAGTTAACCATTTCTTTGTCAATAGTTTTCAATGCCAAAAGGTGGCAGCATTTCAGCTGTAGGCAAAGGAATTTACATATTGGGATGAGAATTTTATATATTGGGACGGGCCACTGAAAGGATGGATGACACAGAGGATAAAGGCACTCTATACACATCTGATCTACTCTGTAGGTTGACTGAAGCTCCAGTACTGAACTGAAACTGATTATAAGTTACATCATGGTTCTGTGTTCTGCTCCGTTAAGAAGCTCAGACGGACTAGGAGAGGTAATACCTTTTACAGAGTAAAAATAACATTGTTCACTCACGTAGCTTGAATCTGTACCAACCAATTAGTCACATATCTGCAGTATTGCTAAGATGCAGTATGCTCATTGTGTCTGTATGTCAAACATGGAAATATTTTTAAGGAAAACAGTTAAACAAAAGGATTTAAATCCACCATCCACTTTTCGGGGTGGGAGAAGAGACAGAACTGTTGAAATTCAAAACCTGTTGTATCTCTCACAAGACAGTACGTAGCAAGTGATTAGTTTGCAATGCAAACTAAATCTTACAATTATTTTGAAAGGCAGGGGTGGCGTGAGTCTGAAAAAGCTTACAGTACCCATTGGAAATAAATTTCTTCTATCCCCTGAAAGACATTCTATTTATCCAACTATAGGAAACCAAAGTAATAGGGTCTCTAATTATCATCCAATTATGCAATTAGGTACACATTATTAGAACTGCCTAACTATACACATACAAACTCAGAGTAGGATAGGAATGCTCAAATGCAATTTTATCACTTTCTCAAGATTCCCCTTTTTTAAGCTCAAAAGCAAATACTGAAATGTAAGCCTGAGCAGTTGTGTTCATTTTTCCTTACCATGAAAATTCACAACTGGGTCAATAAAGAAGGGCTAACCCATAACTTAAAAAAGTCTAGTTGAACCTTTGTAATCATCTCACAGCAGGGCAGATTAAGCATAATAACTAAAGACCTACATGAACCTCCTCAATCAGGCTATGGGGAAGCTATTGTATTTTACTCTATTCTGTTCTGCTCTATTCTAGCTTTTGTGTGTGTCCATCACTTGTATTTCTGTGCCTCCCTCTAGTGGAAAGAAGGGAGGGAAGGAGGCACATATGCCAGCAAAATGCACTTCATTCTGCTAAGAACATTCTGTTCTTGAGTTATAATTAAGATGCTGCCAGGAACTTTCATTATGAACCCTGATTTTTCAAACATTTAGGACTTTGCCAGAAAAATAAATCTGACTTCAGCACGTACTTTCAGCTAGAGTAGATTTACTTATTCCAGCGGGGGGAACAAATCACATATGTTGGATTGACTGCTCTGAGCTCAGACTTTTAAATACCTACTTTGATTTTTGCATTCTATTTCCTCTAGCAAAAAACCACACCTCTGCTTACCACAGACTCCTGCCAAAATTAATTGTTTACCTGGACAGATATTTTAATTTTGCAGGGAAAAAAATTCATTTTGCTACTAGTAAGAAAGGACTCTTGGATCCAAGCAGCATTTCCCTTCAACAGAATAATGGAACATATAAATGCACTTTGTACTTTTTAATTGTACTCCTCATTTAACCATGTTCACTATGTTCAAGATTACTTTTCTTCTGCTCTATGGGTACTTCTGAGCTTTCAAGCAAACCAAAACAAACCACAGCTCCAGTTCACCTCTGTAAGGAGACAACTTCAAAGTGACAGTCCTTTCAGGTTTTGTTTAGGAACCTTAGCAAAAGCATTAAGTACAGAAATCATTGATGTTTAATACGAAAATACGCTTGAGAGATAAAAACCCTCTGACATTCAAAGCAACTCCACAGTTGTGACATACTTTTTAAACACACAGAGCAGTTAATTGTGCTGTATGATTTCTGGAACTTTGTACTTCTGAAGAGAGCTTTAAAGTGCTTTGTCCCATTCATTTTATATCCTGCAGAATGAATAGTGCCCATGCAATGACATCTGGAGCTGGTAAATGCACATACCTGCTGGGAAAATAGCTATGCTTTAAAACCAACAGGGAAGTAAGATGGATGTATGGCTTTTTCTGTTATTTCTTAGAAATCCCCTACATAAAGGCCAGAGCATAACCCTATTTAAGAAGGTTCTCCTAGGAAAAGGTGGAATTGTAGTCTCCCTCCAAACTTGAAAGATGAGACCTCAGATTCCACACTGGCAGGCACTAAGGTACACAGCCTCACCTGAGTGAATCCAAGTTTGATCCGTCTTTGTTTGAAAGTCTTGGCAAACTGCTCAAGCTCCTCAAGGTCACTGGGCTCCTCCAAGCTGGGAGTGTCGATTCGCTTTGGTGTTGACTGGCTCTGTGGAAGTGGCTGAATGGGGGTCGCCGCTATTGTGCGTGTTGGGGTTGCTGGCTATTAAGATAGAGAGCAAGGAAAAGATGAAAGACTTAAAAGAATAATCAGCAAAAATTAAATTCAGAAAAGGTACGTGAGGTTTCTTTAAGAAAGATCAATGAATCTGACATTTCCAGCAATCTGAAAGTTCCTCCAATTTATTTACATTCCTCTCAAGAATGAGCAATCACAATCCAGCAAACTGTATTAGTATGACAGCCTTTTAAAGGCTCTGTCAGAACCAATTAAAGAAAAGTAAGAGATGTTCAATGCAGCAGATAACCAACAACTTTCGCTTGCTACAGAAGCTGCTCAAAGAAAGGCTGAACACTCTTACTTGATACAGTTCTATCATTCATAGACAGCTTGGCATTCATCCCCTTTTAATCATTTTAAAATTGAATTTACTGCTTGTGTGAGGTGGCAGATTGTCATCAGCCCAAAAGATTCAAGTCTCCTATTTAATCTTGGAACAGCGAGCACATATGAGGAGGCGGGGGAGTGCAGCAAACATGGCAAGTTTCCTCTAATGCCATCTCTTGTGACTGACTCAACTCTTCCAGTGAGAAAAAAATAGATCCCCCTCTAACCCTCCTGTTGATACTTGCAACAGTAAGCATGAATGTAGTGGTGATACAAAAAATTAAACAAAGGCAACTTGCAGAAAATAATTCCTTTTAGATCACATTTTTCTTCTACATAAAAGGCTAATTTTCCAGGAAGTCCATACAAGGTTCACTATTCCTGAACATTGGCATACTAGAGCATTTTGATATGCAGCAATAATAAGAATCTGAAAAAACCCTGAGCATCCTGGAAAATATTCACAGGTGAACAAAATATATTAAGATCTGGTATTGCACAGTTCAGGCTTTATGTGCAACAGGAACATTGGAAACATGTTTTGAGTGCATAACTCTACCTTCTTACATGCCACAGATGAACTAAGATGGATTTACTGTAGTTAAATTCTATTCAGTTCAGCTGAGGCTCATAAGTAAAGGTGACTTCATGCTTTTATATGTCTTATGCCCAGTTCTGAAACTATGGACTCCTTCAGGGCAAATAAGAACAGCCTCAAGTCTATGCAACACTACAGCACTATGCAAAGTCTATGCAAAGGTCCTGAAACGGCTGTTTTAAAAGAAATGGCCGTTTTAAAAGAAATGGCCTACATATAGCTTGAGTCTTTATGTAGCTCCTTATGTTGTTTTTCTCCTGGGTTAGTGCACTATTTTGCAGTGCACAGCAGATGGTAGAGGGAGGTCAGGATCTATAATTCCATTACTTGAGAAATAATGTGATCATCTATGATCTTTCTAGGATTGCAGGTATGTGTCACACTATAACAGTTTTTTATATTTTTTAATTTACATTAAACATAGTATGTAATTACTTCAATATGTCTTTACTGACTTCATCCCCTTTATAAAATTTATTGTAGTTTTGATACTTTTTTTTTAATTCAAGTATAATCTGTAGTAGGGAGTCATGCTGCTGAAGTGAACTACAGAGGTGAGACAAATTCTATTTTCCATGTGGGGCATGAAAAATTCTATAGGTGGTATAATAGAAAATGTAGTTTTCCAAGACTCTTATAGACTCAGGCATCTTATTACAGACTAAAAAAATTCTTATATGTAACCAAGTTGGCAGGAAGATACTGTATGACATTACATGGTATTTAAGAAACAGCATGCAGTCATGTAAGTAAACTGCACAGTAAAAGCCAGAGTGAAGCAAAATTAAATTTGCAGGCACATGCAATCTTAAAATTGCTTTTCTTACAGTCTGAAACCTTAATCATAGAGCTTTAATATTTTAATATGTATCTAACAGAATATTTTAATGCATTTCTAACAATCTCTTCACCTTCCCAGAAGGTAACTAGTAAGACTGGCAATGACTTAGCAATAATAGCAAAACAACTAGGCTGCAATAGATTACCACTGTGATCTTTAGAGAAAGAGGTACCTGTCAGTAGTCCTCTTTTTGAGCCTTTTAAGTGGCCCACACCTTGCTCCTCTCAATTTCACAAATTTGCAGATTTGCCAAGAAAGCCTTACAAGAAATCAAATGATGCTCTAGTGTCATTAACTCAAGATATCAATCATGGAATTTTTCAGCTACTTAGAACGTGAAAAGAGGCACATTAGGGTGGGAACTACAAAACTGAAGTTACTGATACGTCAGCTCTACACAGAATCTATCTAGAAAGACAAACTCATTACTGTAGCTACAGTATCTACTCCGGTAGATAATACAAAGGGTCCATTCACTTTCAATAGTTCAAATCCCCTCAAAGCAACTCATGAACTGTAGAAATAAGCCTGACCTGCGAGGCAAGGGTGATGCTTGGCTGAGACTGCAGGAGGTTGGCTTGGCTTTGCTGAGGTAGTTGCGTTAAGAGATTCTGCGCTTGCAGGAGACCTGGAGAGAGAAAAGGGTGGGTTTTGTTTGTCATTTAAAAAGACTAAAACACAAAATGAGATAAAACAAGGCTCTTGCCAAATAATTTTACCAAAAATTTGAGGCAAGCCTTCACTTCATCCCTGCAAAGGTATCTTCAGACTTTGGACTTTTCAGTCCAAAATCCCCTTGCATTTTCCTGAAGTATATGGGGTGACAGAAGCGTGAAAGTCTGTACTAGTCTCCTCTGCAGAAAAAGTTTGTAATGATTTAGGTTATCCCAGTCCCGTGTACAGGAATCATTTATTGCCCCTTTCACCTTGCAGATTTTGGGCAATCTTCCTGGTTACATCTTCCTGTAACCAACAGCTGACCAAGAACTAGGGAGCCATATAAAAATAAACAACTGAACACTAATCAGATCAAATCCAACAACTGAATGCTAATCAAAACCACAAATTTGGTTCCTTGATCACCCTTCTTCCTCTCTGCATCACCCCATGCTAGCTGCCTAAGAAGGAGGCAACTTTCTCTGGCAAACTTAAGCAGATCACACCAGAAGACAAAACAAGCCCAAATAACCTCTTCCTGGCTGAAATAAAGAAGGAATCTTTTGGAAAAGTAATCAGAATTTAAAGTCTAGGTAAGATACTGAACACTGTTTAAATTGCACAAATAGAATAAACATTACACTGACTATATGAAAACCCCTGCTCTTACGAAAAGGTGGCAATATTAAAGAACAGTTGGGACTGATACAACCAATATATACACTAGACCGTCATTCTAAAAAATAAATTCTCTTAGAGTCCAATATTTGTATGGTTTTCTCTCAGGAAATTGATACATGCTTGCATTTATATATTTTAACTAGAAGCTATCCAGTGTTGGTTTTGTTGGGTTTTGGGTTTTTTTTGCATTTCTAGTACTAAAATGCATCTATTTTTAAGAGGTAAGAATCTTGACAAAAATACACCTACAGTTAGTCAACTCCCTCAATTTTATTGTGAAAAATATTACTGTTATTCTTTAGTTAACTGCTGGCTACATTTATCAATTTTCCATATCATAATTTAAGAACCTGACTAATGAAACCTACACTTAATAGGCACGTTCAATACATCAAGTTCCTAAAACCAAGGGGCAATGATAGTACAACAACAACAGATGACCACTATGGCCACTCAGAAGACAGAACACCAAGTACGTACCACTTAAATTCCATAATTTGAGTTCAACATGGTCTGTTCTGGCTCATCAGCTGGCTGATCAACCAGGGAACACCACTCGTGACCAGCTGCCTCTTAGCAGAATACAGGTAGGGGACATAGGAATTTAGGACTTGATAAATACTGAGTGAGAAACTGGGTATTTTATGCAAGGTTAAGGCTGTAGGAGACATGAAAAGAGGGACTACCATGGGTAGGAAGGAGAAATTGTAGCCTCAATGAGGGATACACAACTACAGAATTGTCTTCCGACAGTGATATTACTTGATACTTTATTTTCTCCCCACAAAGCATTGAATATGTATTTTAAATAGAATGTGTTGCTATCAAAATGCTCAAAACCTACAGAATAAAGCCAGCTGCTTGTGCAACATAATAGCACAGCATAGACAACTATGAAAATTTGCTTTGCACCACACAATCAACATGTTCCAGCTGTGTTTTTGAAAAGCCACAGCGAGGGAATAGATCAGTTTAAGGAACTTCAAGACAGTTACATGGTGCTTTTTACAATGCAAATATTTGTTCACTTGAAAGATGATTTCAGCTGCCCAAATCTAAATATTAATTAGTGAACAGTCACCTCTAAGTGAAGAGGTTTTGACCTTTATTTAGTGGCAGTGAATTTTAACTGACAACTTGAAATAGAAAGGGGTGAGCCATCACACCAACACTACAGAGTGGCTGATCAATAATGAAACAAAAAATAGGCAGCTGATGGTCACCACATTTGACCTCTAGTCCACTAGTAACACCATCGATCACAAATTACTGACTCATCTTATGACTGTAATCAGAGTAATTAGGATTGTCCTTTTGTGATTTTTTTGTCAAAGAAACCCCAAAGGATGTTTTTCTGGCAATAACGCTTTTGCTGAAGAGCACACTCTTCCTCATTTTATTCTCCTTCATATGTTCTGAGGTAATTATCACTGAAGGACAGTATAAAATATTCTGAACATGTTTAATCTACTCCATTTTTACATCATTTTATCCAGTTTAAGAAATACTGATACAATGTGTCTCAGGCAAAAACTGGAGAAAGAACAAGTTAGCTCAGCCTGCAGCTGACTGAAATAATGATCAAGGGTTGGGGAAAGCAGCTGAACTGTTTTGGCAAAGTATGCATCTCTTCCACTGACTTACAGTCTTTACAGAGAACTGCCATGCACACACTCTGGACTCGTTGGCTTCCATGGGTGGGCAGCTGCAGTTTTGCTCTTTTCAGACATGACTTGTACTAGTCTAAGCTTCACCTTTGGTTTTTTTTTTTTCTGAGAATGAACTATTGGTCACCACTTTGGTCCCAGATAACTTTAGTGACTTATAGGGCACATAGCACAATCTTTTAAATACAGTCTAAGTCCAAAACTACACCTTTTGGGCAACTGCTGAGATATTGGTGTTTCAAACTTTGCTGTTTCCTCAGGAAAACAGTATTTGCATCAGTACCAAACATCGTTATTACCAATAAGGCTGATTGGACAAAATATATTCTCAGCAAGTTTGTGGACAATACCAAACATGGGGAGAGTGGTCAATAAGCCAGAAGCCAGGGTCTAGACAGGCTGGACAAATGGAACTTCATGACAATCAATGCAGGAAGATGCAATGTCCTGCATGGGGGCTGGAATAACCCTGTGCAGCAAATACAGAGTGGACGCTGGCTGGCTAGAAAGCAGTTTTGCAGAAAAAAGACCTGGGGCTCCTGGGGGACAAGGAGTTGAATGTGAGCCAGCAGCGTGCCCTTACAACAAAGACAGCCAACAGCATCCTGGGCTGTATTTGCAAGAGTGCAGCTAGCAGGTCAAGGGTTGTGGTTCTTCCCCTCCGTTTGGCACTTGAGACCACATCTGGAGTACTGCATCCAGTTTTGGGTTTCCCAATACAAGACACAGTGACATCCTGGATTTTGTACATTCAAGGTCCACCAGGGTGACTAACAGGCTGAAACAACCACACAGGGAATGGGTAAGTGAGCTGGCTTGTTCAGCCTTATGAGAAGACTAAGGCAAAATGCTATTGCTGTCTTCAAAGACAGAAAAGAACTCTTCTTGAGGGTGCACAGTAATGAGATGTAACAGATGTAAGTTGGAACACAGAAATCCCCAACCAGGTATAAGAAACTCTCCCCCTCCCCGTAAGAGTGCTCAACTATTGGCACAGGTACTTGAAGAGTTTGCAGAATCTCCATCCTTGGAGATGTTTAAAATTCAGCTGGCTGAGGTGCTGAGTACCCTGCTGTAATTGGACCTGCTTTGAGTAATAATACATGACCTGTAGAGGTGTTTTCCAACCTATGTGATTTTTTGAATCTATAAAAACTAATACTGTATTTGTATACTTAACTTTACAGAGGTAGTATTTCTAACCCTCTACTTTAGGTTCTAAGAGCCCAGTAGTACTATTGCATTAAATATGGCATACAAATCACCTACGTGATGCTCAAAAAGAATGACTACATGGAGGTAGGTAAGGATCTATGCAAAAGTGTGATGCTTTAGAGATTTTTTTTTATTTTTTTTTTAAATAGTTCAAGTAAATGCATCTGCCATCATCCAGGACTTCTCCTGTGATGTGTCTGAGTAGTATGAATAATGGCCCAAGCAAAAAAAATCTTCCTGCCAGCCAGCAGTCCCCAAGGACTGATCTGGAGTTCAGTTGTTACTGTATAAAATTAAACAAAAGATAAAACAAACATTCAAGCGCAGATTTTTCCAGCATAATTTTTAAAAAGTTGGCCCAGAAGCATAATACATAATTCATCTCCCAAAACAGTGAATTTTTTCATCTAATAAGAACTTGACTGCTTTTTCTCTGCCAAAGCTGTACATCTTCTCACAGACATATCCTGGAAGTTAGCTTGCAAGACAAGGCCATTACAATGTCATAATTTGATTAACTGGAAACAACTGGAAGAAGAAAGGGTGTCTTCCCACATATTACATACAGTACCATTTGATCAACTTTGTTGAACACTGTTGATGCAAAGAAAGTTCTGGGCACTTTGGTGTATCTCATTTTATCAAACCCAGATCTTCCAAAATGGGGACTCATAGTTGGAATTATGTTGGGGTCCAACACAGGAGAGAAAGTACTAACCTATACATTCCTACAAATCTGTTCCACAGAGATGTTAAACTGCTGCATGCTGCTGCCCCCTTTGCAGTATCCAGGTACCCTTTAAGATCAGTTCAAGAAGATGACACATATGTGCTGAAGTTGGTGAACTGGGGGTTGGAAGAGTACCAATTCAGTGATCCATGCAAAGCTGCTGCCACACTACTTCAATGAAAGTCAGTATTTTTACTCATTGATGCTGTTTGGATGGTTAGAAGCAAAGACGACTTCCAACACGACAGTAAATGCTAAGCATTTAACTCATATCTTGGTTATGGGTATTTGCAGCACAGTGGAAAAAGTCACCATTTAAATCACTTTTTCCAAGTTCTTTTTCATTCGACTTCAAGCTCTCCCCTCTTATTTGGGGAATGAGTTTGAGTCAGCTACATTTTATTCAACTGCTGTGTCAGAAAATATGCTGTCATTAAGAGTGTCTGGACAATGAAGAGCTGGGTCTCCTCATCTGCATACTGAGGGGACCAAAGCACTTCACCTGGTTCACACAGCATATTATTAACAAAATGAGGAGGAGTCCTGTAAGGGCAGTGCAGGTGCACAATCTCAGATGAGATGAACATTTGCCCATGAAAAATTTGATGCATCTGAGAAGAAACACAGGCAACTTCAGGCATCTTTCTCCACCCTCACACTGGGTGAGGGAGCTGCATCCTGATTTATTGTACCAGAGGCCAGCAGGGTAGGTACCAAATTTTAACGTTCATTGCCCCATTTTAAAAATGTGGTTTTTTAATGATAGAAGTCTCAAAGTCTGTAGGACAAGTATGCAAGAAGAGAACAGGACTGGATTTGGCCTGCTGTCATCATTCCAGGTATTTTTACAATAAAAAAATGCAATCATAAACAAGGTCTTTAATAATAAACAGCAATAACTTGAGAATAAGTAGGCCCAGTTTCAATGCTTAAAGCTAATTAGTAGCTTGTCTTCCACATTTGCCTGTCTGGATACTCTATAAGTACCGTTTCTAAACCAGTTCTCTCTCCTTGACAATGATACAGTCTTTTCTCAGATCTTAATAACTTCTGTTTGCAAGATTAATTTAAATAAAATGCAGCACCGTTTTCCCTCTCCATTCAGATTTTTACCGATACGATTTTTATTGGCAATATCTTCTGAGTAGAAAGGTCATCTAATGACGGTAGTATTTTTAAGAAGCAGCTATAATTCCAGTAAAGGATGTTGAATTGATTATCCTAGAGACAGATCTATTACTTAATAGAACAGATAGAAGAGGTATAAAGACTGTACAAGGTGATACATTCCTGACCATGACTTTAACAATAATATGGAGACAATAATCGCTCCGAATAAGAAGTTGTTCCAAATTTCTATTTCCATTCAATCTTCTGCATATCTGCTGAGGATTGAAAAAAATCCTTCAGTTGTGATGCTACCTATTACAAGTCGTGAAAAACAGGAACTTTACAATTTATTTCATGTAAGCCACTGAATAACCAGAAATAATGTGGAAAAGGAAGATGACTACAATAGACATATGGCAGTGGATTTATGGGGAGAATTTCACATCTACTGCTATGATCTATAATGTGCATTGAAGAAAGATAGCAGAATAACATCCTGATTGTTGATTAATATTTTAGGCATTGAATTTTCTAAAATTTTTCAGAAGTTGGATCTAAGCCATAATGTTCAAGCCCTTCCAAGACTCTAAACATGATTGCTGATGATTGCATTGCTCTGCACCCCATCACCTCTGCAGGTAAAAGAAGCTTTTCTCTACCAAATGTTTACATGTCTTCTACAATATTGCTCAGAGATACTATCCTTCATTTATTTCCCTCAAAACTATTCTCTTGTATTAAAAGTAATGTTTCTCATGTACATGACTACATGTAGTGGTCTGTAAAGCAATAGATTTCTTCCAGAATAATCTATAAATAAATCTGTATTTTCATTTTAGTTATTAAGAGCGTAGACACACACACACATATATAAAGCTGCGTGCAGTTTCAATGAGGCATCCAAAAAATCCTGAATGTCGTTGGTTTTAAAGAAAGCTCTGTACTAGTTTCTTCAGAATATTTATTATTTTATGAAGTTGACTAATGGAGCAATAGGACAAGAACATGGAAAAGTCAGCTGCAACAGCAAACAACAAAATAAAAATACACAATTTCTCAATCTTTCTCATAAATGATAACATACTGTTTGAGATCTTCTAACAATAACCATGAAATACTGCAAAAAGCCATACCAAAAAGTGAGATAAGGGGTATTATGACATACATGTTGCTTTATCATTGAGTGCTCATGAAGAAAATTAGATCCGTTCAAGCATTTCGGTTTGGAAGGTTGTCACACACTAATGGCCTATGGTCAGAATACAGAATATAAATCTTCCTACATTTTGAGCTATTCAGTTGTACGGGTTGCACGTTACCAGTAAAACATGGTGTTTCTACACACAGCGCGTCACTGATGACAGCAATATGCAGGTCTTAAATTGCAGTGAAGAATTAATTTTCAGAGATGGCCCCCAGAAAAGGTATTACGAAAACCTCTTCTGATAGTTATTCTACTTCATAAGATTTTAAGCAAACAAACAAACAGCCTTCCTTCCTTTCTATAATGCGAACAACTCATTTTCAGATATGAATATAATTTGCTTCTGTTAGTTTCCTTCTTTGTGAAGCATCTTCAGAGATATTTTAGAAAACCAGCAGAAATTAGCTGAAAAATGTAGGCAGACATCAATACCAGTGAGTTTTTCAAAACAATGCTTTTAAAAGAATTTTTTTTTTTTTTTTTTTAAAAAGAGAAGCCTACTTTAAAGAATCCTTGAATTTAACTTTGGTGAAGTTTGATTTCTTCTAGAAGAATATGTTATAACCTTTTAAGTTCTGCTTAATTTTAAGAAACTAGTACATCACTAAATGCATCCATGAATAGTCTTTTAGCCATTTTCTACCAGTGCTGGTATAAAAGCTCTCCTAAATCAAGTCCTATTAAAAGAAAGTTAATTTTGACTAACCCTTTATTCAAATGTGAGAGCAGTGAGAGAGCTTCAGCATAAATGGAAAGCCAGTTCTATCCAAGTCATGGGATATAAGAAGGAATGATGCATGAAAAAATTGAAAGGAACAGAAGAAAATGAGGTGCAAAGAGCTGCTTTATAGGACAGCCAGGCTCTAGAGGACTCAAGTGTAACAGGATTTGCCTTCTGAGCAAGAATCTTTGGATTCCCAGACCTGAACAACTGAGTAGAGTTCAGGTAGAATAGAAAGGGGGAAAAAAGACCACTGGAGTATATCAGTATACCAGCATAAGAGGTCATGGCCAAATGTAGTTTTCTGTGGGCACCAACAAATGAGGTGCAATCAGTACTGTGATGTATTGCAATTTGAAAGCATGAGTTCTTAGAACAAAGTTCCTAGACAACTTCTTAACCGGTCTGGCACACTACCACCTACCACTGCCTTGGTTTGCCTTTAACACGTAAGCCATACCCAGTATATTGCCAAAATACTATTTTCAAGAGTTGTTATACAAAATCAAGCATTCTAGCTCTTTTCTCAAGGTGTAATTGTTATTTTCATTAATGTGTCATGTTTATGACAAAATTCACTGCACCCTCTTTAGGCTTAAGGACTTTTCTAGTCTCCCACAAGGACCCTAGATTTTGTGATCTTTTTCCAGTCTTAGAATTCTGTAGCCCTTTTAGCATTGACCTAATCCAGACAGCCCACATACCCTCCAGGCCTTCACGTCCTAGGATTCTGCCTTTTAATTCTGGAGAGTTATCTTCTCCAAGTTCTCTTCCCAGTAGGCTTCCTTCTTGAGAGCCCAACTTAGAAATTCAGATGCTGCAGTATTTCCCCAAAAGCCTTGTTGTTTACAAATGTTCCCATGACACGATCTCTGGATTGATCCTTCTTGAGAAGTGAGCTACACAAACTTTGACAAGACTGAGGTCTAACACCCAGAAAGGGACAACCTGTTAGAGTCTCCTAATTGCAATACTGTTATTTCTCCTAGGGAATATCAACAGTCAGTGAAAGTGTATGAACCACCTCAGTTTCACATTCTCTAAAAAAAGCTACAGATAAATCATCATCTTTTCTGGCAAGGAGCACTTACCCTGCTGCCCCTGCGGTGTTTGTGAGATGATGAACTGTGCTGGCTGCAAGTTGGTTGTTGGATGCACCAACACAAACTGTTGCAGGTTGAGATTCTGCTGCTGAAGCTGCTGCAAGTGCTGCAAATCCTTAAGGAAACAGGGGAAGGGGGAAAAAAAGGGAAAAAAAGAAAGAAAAAAAAAGAAAAAAGAAAAGAGAAAAGAAAGAGCTGTGTGTTAGACATTTAAGTCAGCCATGACTCCCAATGTAACTAGATTTCCTATCAACCAGTTACATTCTAACATTTAGAGATAAAAGTGGATGTCAAACACAGCAGTCCTGCTACAGAATATCCTTTAGGCTGGCAATTTGAATTTCGCTGTTATTCATAAAACCAAACAAAAATTGTTTACCAAATAACCCAGCAAAATATTTCCAGCACTGTTCTGCTTTAAAAAATAAAATAAATTTAAAAAAAAATCAAAAAATCACTCTTCTTTCCCCCCAAATGCAGAAGTTTTCAAATACTTCAGACTTAACAGCACCCAGATTTCTCAGACCTAATTTTTGAGGATGGAACTCTGCTACAAAATTCATTGTTGACAAATCAAGCATATTAGCTGGGAGCTATTTTTGTTTATAACAACCACAATCTGCAATTACCATTCTAATCAGCAACAGGAAAGCAATACAGATTCCTAGTTTGCACTCTGGTTGTTTAGGTAAAATTTCAGGAAGTAGCTAACTCAACACACTAAATAAATATATTTGATTAGTTCTGAAACAAATTACAATAAGCTCAGTAGACATGGCTATAATTAAACAGAATAACCCAAAACACTGCACTATTGTGGAGCCCTACTTTAAACCATTCAGAACTATTAATTTTCTATAATTAAATGACTGGTCTCAACATAAATGCTAATCTCTGACAAACTGAATCATCAAGAAAAGAGCTTCAACTTGCTGTTTAGCTGGAGAATGAAAACACTGAGAACTGCTTATAAGTATTCCTACCAAACTAGCCTTTTTCTTTTCATCTTCTCCAAACAGGACAATAACAAGAGTAACTGAAATTTGAAAATTGAAGCACAATGTGAAGCAAGCCAACATAATGGAGGTAATCGATGAAAACTATCTATAGACATATGTAGAATCTTTCTATCTTTCTGAGAAGAAGCTGTTTCAAAATACCTGCCAAGCAGGTGGATAAAAAGCCTGAAGTACTTCCCCAATTACAATCTCCCATTAAACAAACCAAACAAAAACCCTCCCAAAAGTCTATTTCAGATGAGTTACTCGGATACCTGGGTACCTGTTTGCAGACAGATACCCTCTTCTGGGTCCAACTGTGTCAGAAGATGTCAACAATGCCAGTTTGCTCCTAAACCAGTGCTCAATCTGGCTGCTTGAATGGAGCTGCTTGTTTTAACATACTTCCTAACATACTTAAGTTAAAGTGAGCCAGACTTACAAAGACCTGCTTCTTAAGGCCAGTGAAGTAGCCCCCATGCATTTTGACTGATGCTGGTTACTGAGCACTTGCACAAGCTGTTCAGCCAGCAGATGTGAAACACCATTAACTGCGAGCAATGGAGATGGTGATGGAAAACTCAAGACAGACTGACAAGGATAACTTTTTACTTACACAACGCAACTGTTTGCAGAATGTAGTAATCTGTCTATGACCTTACATTATCTTAAAACTGTTAAACTAAGACTTAAAAGTTGCAACAATCTCCTTCTGGGGAAGAGAGGTAGGGAGTGTCAGTGGGTGGAAAGGAAGACTAGGGAGGGGAAAAAAAAGAAGAGTTCATTGATTTATGAGACCATAGACATGCATTATAAGCAAATGACTACTTAACCTGCATTAAAAACACACTGGCCATCAATCACTTAGGCAACGTGGTCATATTAAGTCAAAAGCATGAAGTGTAATAATAAGGTACACAGACACCAGATGGATTGCCAAAGCAATGCTCTTTAAGAAATAGGAACTTCCAATTTATAAGAGAACGGTAAAATCTTAAGAAGTGTCCCCCCCCGGCACAACAGAGTGTTTTTAAAGTTGATAGTATCATTTCCTTTCAGAAAATTTGAGAAGTATTGCAACCATTCCTATGAAATTGAGGTCAATTTCCTTCCTAAAGAGAGAGAACTGTTCCAGTTTTCCCCAGGAACTCCATGTTTCTTCTAACTTCGTATCAAAGTTACATCAGTCAGAACTGCTACTGAAAACTCTTTACCTCTTGAGCTCAATTGCAACATGGACCTCCACTCATTTATTCATTGATTTTCAATGCTCTGTTGGTTACTTTTGCAGATTGAGCAGACCCTCCCGTACAAAGGGGGCTCATACCAAATTGGATGTGAGGACTAGATGCAGAGGAAGAAGCAGAAAGAGTAGGGCAAAGTGACTAAGGCTGTGAATGCTGGGTGGAAGAAAAAGAAATGAAGAGAGGCTGAAGGATGAAAATAGTGATGAATAAGAGAAAAAGTAGAAGCACAAAAGGAAGAGTTGGGAAAAATTTTTGAAGGAAAAAGGACAGAAAAACAGATATGTTGAGGACCTCCCCCACCAAAAGCAAACAAATGAAACTCCCCCAGATGACCAAGTAGATCTCAGATGATTTGAAGCACCATCACAGGAGTTGGAGCCACATACAAGAAAGAATACAAAGAAACAGTGCCAGTGTATTTGTAAGATCAAAGGAGGACAGCTTTTTGTTTAAGACTATAGAATTCATAACACAGGATACCCAGCTAAGACATGACAGCTCTTATCATCAGGCTCCTACACTTTAATATGAAAAAAACATTTTTAAATTGAGGCCTCAGGGATAACTGGTATAAGCAATCTTATTCAGTGCATCTGCCTTGGTAAATGGTATCTTGGCTGAGTCTTGTTTAAATACAGAAATATAATTCTGAAATGCAGAATGGAAACAAAACCTCCAAGGCTAATCACTCTTAAAGAGCCCCACCAGCCCCTCAAATTCATTTGAAATCAAACTTTATTTCTACCTTGGGAAAGTTTTATTATTTAGTTAATTGTAGCATTACAGTAAATCTCCCAACAGCAACCATGCAAACAACCCTGACACTGTTTTCCTATACTGATCTTTTTTTTCCTCAATGGTAAAATCTGTATACTAGCACAAGCACATAGAAAGAGATGGAAAGACTTTTGTGGAGACATGCATGTCTTATGGTGCTGCCTAACAACTTAGATCAAAACAGTCCAACTCCCACCTCAGCAGAATAATCTGCCAAGTGCTACGTCTTGACATGAGGAAGTTTTTGGTTGTTGTGTTTTTGGTTTTCTTTTGGTTTTTTTAAATCATCTAAAGTTCTAAATTCAGTGCCTTTATCTCTAGTTACAGCTTCAGCATCTCTGTCATTTTGATGTTTACATCATATAAACACTGATCATGGATTCTGAAAACAAGTAAAGTTTACAAAGAACTCCAAAACTCCGTGCAACTGTTCAGTGACATTTAGCATCAGCCCAGCAGCAGCACTAACATCTTACCAGACTGCTGCAGCTGGTACCTTACATTAACTGTGGTGCATATTAAAGAAGTCATGCTTGTGCAATTAGTTAATTAAAATAAATATGGTAATCCCCCTGCTGCACAGACCTGCCAGTTAATCAATTATTCAAAAATCATCAATTAAAACAAACAATCAGCTGTGTGTTTACAATAGCAACACAAACAAAGCTGAGCACTGTTTATAAACTGCTGTCAAGATGGATCAAAAAGCATGGTATCCACCTACAAACCTAGATGGTAGAAGTTTTCCAGAAAGTATCTCAAATTACATCCAACACCTGCACAAATCATACCTTGAACCTTCATCATAAGACCCAGCTAACAAGATTCAACCAAGCTACATTTATATATCAAAATAACATATCCTAAAAGAAATTAATTGTAAAGTCAAACGTTTCAGTAATTAGGAATGCCAGAAAACAAGTGAAACTCATTTTTCCCCTTGTGCTACAAATACACATTATATGGTGGCAACTACATGATCCCATGCTATTTTTCATAGAGCCTTTAGTTCATTCACGTGCACAAACCAGACAATGCTCACTTCAGAAGCTCCTATTTCACGGTACATGCCTGATCTTTTCAACTCCTCTCAAACACTTCTCTGAAGATTTTGTAAGTTCTGGAGAAAAAACCCAGTACTAAATTAGTAAGTGTAAATGCTTTGCGCATTTTCATAGCTTTCCAGTGAAGCAGGAGAGCAGGATTAGCAACATCTCACACATGCACAACAATGCCTTCAAAAGTATCCACTAATTTGGTGGCTTATTTGATAAATATAAAGTCAGAAAGTTCAAGGTGCAGATTTTATTAATATGAAATTTCAATGCTCCACACTTCAGTAAAGCAGACCTCACTACCTTAAGCTGCACACCTGGAAGACAAGAGGCACACACCTGTGGATCACTTACATTCAGGTTAAAAGACTTGCATAATATCAAATGGGAACTTGGTGACAGATGCATGGAGAGATGTTAGAAGCTAACCATCAACTTCCTTGACAAGGACATTTCCCATTCTTTTCTTGAAATCTGCCTGTATTACTGGCTCCAGACAAAGGCTTAACAAAACTAAGAGATGATCTTGGGAGTTAGGAGTTTCCTTCAACGCTACATCCTTGAGTCATCTCCAGATCATTACAGTGAAGTGGGATCCTTTGCTAAAACAAGCATTAATATCTGGTCACATGCCTCATCACAGTGCATCAAGAGGCTCAGTGTGAGGGGTCTGTGGGCAGCATCAGTACAGGCCTTTTAAATGTGGGATGGTATCAGCTCTGGCCTCGCTAAACACAGCCAGAGAGGTCAGAGCTCTTAGATCAACACCACAGAAGTTTGTCCCTTCAGCTAATAAAAAACTGATAGCACAACCAGGCTGTTATTCAGCTAGTACACTAGCAAAATAAAGGAACAGCACATGTCACCAATGGACTTCACAGATAATTGTGACATTTCCATTCTTTTACTTAATCAGCCCTCATCTTCACTTTTTAGACACTTCATCCCAGTTGAATGCAAGTGAAAATAGTCTGAATAGGAAGCATCAGACAGTCTTAAAGAACCTGCTCACTGTAAGAAGCAGCAACTTTGGAGATTACATACCCAACACTGCACAGCTAGACTAGTCACACTGAAATATTACATACTGAGAACCTTAATCTATGCAAAGATGGACCTCAGTGTCCACAGCACAATCACCTACTAGTGGTACTCAAGATGCCTGTGCTGTATATTCGGTTACCCTTGTCCAGAAATCAAAGGAGCTTCCACACTACATATGCAAAGCATAGAGTCAGTGGCACGGCATTCTCCACACTGAATTAAGCCAATCCTGGAAGACCCAGGAAGATCTTTGCCGCTCCTAGTAAGCGGAACTTCCTTGGCAAGCAGTTCTTTGGAATTAACGGGTCTTTAGCAGCAGACCATAAAACTGGATCGATTCTGACACCAGACTCATTCTAGCAAGTTTTTCTCCAGACACACAAGACTGCCCATTCTTTATCACTGAACTCTGAGCGCTAAGCACCAAGCCAAAATAGCACACAAATGTGTCAAGTCGAACTGCCTTTCTTCAGCTCTACCATTTTGCTGTTTGGATCTAAAAAGCATCCTTTGTGATACACAGGTATTCCTTCCCATCCATACAGGTCTCTACAAACGTCATTTCTATGGGCATCTTTCTATACTACTTTTTCTCCTTTCTCAAGCTAACTACAAGGAGGAAAATTCAGAAAATATAGCATCTGGTCAGATTCTGGAACAAACTCAGAAGCCCAGTGGAACTGACGAGCAGCTGGTATGCATTCTTTGCTAAAACTATCAACTTCAACCTCATCACCTAAGGATGCACAAGGAAAGACTAACAGTACTCAAGGACTCTAGAAGCTCACTGAACAAGGAATAAAAATATTATTTGAATGATGCAATTAGTCAAACCTCTTTATTTTCCACCCTCTCAAGCCTCAAGGCTCACCTGTGCAATCTGTATTGGCTGAGATAGAGGGATCTGCGTCATCGGCGTTGCAGCAGAGGCCGAGATGGTGGCACCTGCAGCGCTGTGCTGCTGACTGGCTGAATGCTGCACTGCAGCCGCCAGCAACTGTGCCTGCGCCTGTTGTAGCAATAACTGTTGCTGGGCTGGCGTCAACGTGAGCTATAAATAATTAGAAAACACAGCCATTAATAATGGAAAGAGCCACTTCAGCTACAAAGTCATTAGCTAGCTCATTACTAGTTATATTAAGCAGACATTCCTAGAACTACTACTACAGTTCTGCCATTAACTAGCCAATGACTCTGGCCTTAAGTAAGGACAGCTGGCTACTCAACACAGTGTAGGAACCGACCTACCACAGACCTGACATAAACCAAACCACATGAACACAAACATTTGCTCGTACTAGAACCTCCAGAACCTAACTTTACTCCTAAATTTTCTTCACAACTCTACCAGGAGGCTCAGGAGAAAGGTAATTAAGTAGCAAGCAAAAGAAAAGAATCAGTATTGCCAGGATTTGAAAGGAAATTTACACCCAGCAGAACAGCAAGTGATTAGGCAGATGAATGAGAAGCATATGACTACTGAACAAACTGATAACCCCCCAGCTGCTTCACATTAGCATGAACCCCTGCCATATTCTATCATTTCCATTATGCCCTAAGATATAAGTAAAGAACATGAGCTCCATTTGTTTCTCTCCAAGTCTCCCCATCTGCTTTTTTTTTTTTTTAATAGAATAGAGTTGGCAAGTTTATATCCCTTCCCTTTCCCAAACACACATTATCTCTGTGAAACAGGTGGCAGCAGTCTCTCCTTTACATGTAAATGAATCTTGACGCCCATATTTACTACAATCCATATCTGCATAGGCCTGGAGTTTTGAGACTATCTGCAGACTATCATAAATTAAAACAAACCAATATTTTTTGAGAATGAGAAAAATAATAAAATATGCTGGGTTTTAATAAAATATTAAAACAGTCTCACTTTTAAAACTTTCAAATGTAATTAACCAGAAACTAAACAGGATGTTTATTTACACACTAGCATATGAGAAGATTTAACAATTGTACATGAAATTAAGACATTGACTGTAGAGATGATCTAACCTAATATTTCAAATCATAAATACATGGTTGGAGCAACTGCCCTAAACTCCTTGTTAACATGCAAACTCTTAAAACTGCAAAGCTTATTATGTACAGCAACATCTTTAACCAAACCAGCCCATTCACAAAACTTGCTCTTTTTTTAGATGACTGAAAGCATTTACAACAAGTCAGAAAGACCAGTAATCCTAATCCAACAGTTATTCCATAATTGCTCCCAAAGCCTTGCAATTAAAAAACCTCAAAACTGGTAGGTTAAAAGCGAAGGGTTGAATATGCTTAAGGCAAGCACTAATATAGTTACTTAAAAAGAAATGTGTTTGAGAAGAGGAAGAATTCGTGTCAGGAGTTCCCATAATTTTTGTTCTTCACCCAGCTATCTGGGAAGATTTAGTCTCATGCTCCCATGCCTCACTTTAATCTTGCAAAAAAATAAAAATTTCTCTTTATGACATCAGTGACTTTCTTATTTGTACACACACCAGGTTTAATTTCATTGCAGAGTCAAGATGGATACTGAGAATAGAGAGAAAGAATTGTATTTTATTTTGGAAGCAAATACTTCACAACAAAAAACAAAGATTTAGGTCTGCTTTTTTTATAGAAAGATATTTTCTGTCCCCTCTCTCACTTAAGTTTCTTCCTATGTTAAAGGAAATGACGATAAACTTTGCTGACAGTTCTACGGGGACTGCCGTGGAGCCTGCCATCATTTGCCGGACAGGAGGCTTACTGCAGTAGACTTGGGTAAATCTTACCCCAGTGATCTGTCCTCCGGCCAGCATGAGCTGGGTCTGGGGTATGGCCGCCTGCACTGAAGGCTGCTGGGAAGGCTGGCTTGGCTGCTGAGAGTCCCCAGATTCTTCATTAGATTTAGACTAGTCAAAAAAACAACAACAACAACAAAAAAAAAAAAAACAACCCACAACTCTTTATAGTGTAAAACAGATGTTAATGTATAACACTGCTATCTCAACACTGCACAATAAAAATCTTTCATCTGCATACAAAAAGCCCTTGGGTTTATTTTAAGAGTGTGTTTAAGCAATGGCTCTATGTGCCCACCATCTCAGCTATGATTGCTCAAACATGTCTGTAGGTAATGCAGTTTAAACAAAACAAAGACTCTCAGGTCTTTTGTAACTCTTTGACATTATTTTCAGGTCTTATTTCATTTTATGCAATGCAACTGAAGCTGACACTACCTTTCGCCATAAAGAAAGAAAGAGTTGTTAAAATTATTAATTGCTTAAAATCCTGAACAATGGAACAAGGGAAAGGAGATTGTGTTTCCATTTTCTATATCTGCATCCTGCACATCTAAGTCATCATGCTGTTGGCTTATAAGGAACTGGTTTGAGAAATCCTCACAGGTTTATCCACCTACAGCAAAATACCTAATATATACAGTGCATTTAAATAATAAAAGTTTAGCATTTATTTAATTGAATGCTGCTTTATTTGAAAAGACTGGGGGGGTGTTGGTTTTTTTGTGGTTTTGTTTTTTGTTGTTTTTTTTTTTTTAAGCAGAAGAAATTGTGAAGACATGAGGGAGGAAATGCAAGTGCATGAAGAGGGGGAGAGAGTTTTATAATTAAAACTGGTTTTGCAGAACATTAAAATTCTGCATAGATTTGCATATTTTCCACCACCTGTTTTGGGGACTGCAGAGCAGGCTAATTAACATAAAGGCTCTGATTAATTCTGCCAGTCATTGAGCGATAATTACAGCACAGGACTGTAAACATTCTGCACTGGAGATACAGCCTGTTTGCCAACATCTCTCTCAGGGATGGAAGTTTACCATGGCAACCAAGGCAATTTTCTGCCTCCTTCCTCTTAGAAAGGAAGGTCACTATACCTCCTCGTCTTTCCAAATTGTTATTATGTATAAGTGGGTCCACATTCTATTGCATTTCATGTAACGCGCTACCTACGTTCTTTAATAACAAGCAATACTGAAACCAGTTTTCAATAAAACTGGGCATCCCTTGTCCCTTAATATATTACTGAGAGGAAGTGGCACATTAACCGATACACTGAAGTGTTCAGCATCATAAAAAAGTTTGAAAGCTTTGTTGTATCGCGTACATTATTAAACAACAATTACTCTGACTTATTTTGAAATTGCTGTTATTTACACAAGCAATCTACACTAGCCACATTACATAGTTAATGTTACATTATACTTCTATATTCAGCTACCAGAAGTAAGAACAAATGGCAAAGTAATACCTCCTATGTTTAAAATAAGTGAATAAATGGAAGAACATGAAATATTCCTGGAGTTTTATTGTTTTCATGATACAACACTTGACTGAAATTCAGTATAAAATTCTGATCACTGAATGTTTTAAACAGCTCCAGTTTCTGAATGCTTACAATCCTGAACCTGATGTACATTTGTAAATTATTATTCCTTCATTCCTATCACTTGCAAGACCAGTCAGGATGACAAAATGGTGTAATACATCATAGGTTAAAAACCTCTCTCTAATGGGAACATAATGCTGTTAACAGCAGAAGGAAACTGTCTTTACCTGTACATTTAAGGACTGAGCAGCAGCCTGTAAACTTGTTCCAGCGAGCTGGACCTACAACACAGTGCAAAAATGGAAATGAAATAATGTAGAATCCACAGAAAACTTTAACGCTGTAAAAAAGAACAACTTCCCCACCTGTACCCCAACAAAAGCTCCCCCAAGAACAATGCATGCCCCTCTAACATCTGAATCTGTGAAACAGGAGTTGTTCTCCAGGCTGAAAAAAATCTGTACGACTCTTCCACAGTGTTATTTGTCTACCTCTTGCTGAACATATTGCTGCCTGGGGATCTAGATATTATCATGAAATTGAGTTGAGACAGAGCACTTTGGGGTGCACAGGCTAACTATTCCTACTCCTGTTAAAAAAATCCAGGTTTCAGGGGAGAGTACTAAGCTCTACTCATCATCACCCTTCTAATATTTCAGAATGGGTCTTACCCCAAATATGTACACTGCATTCACCCACTTCCTTATATGACAGAGGAGCAATCACCTGTATAGCACAAAACCCACAGCATAAACACTCTTCCTCAAATCAACCCATTCAAGTATTTGCAGTCCTGAGCCACTGAAAAGAAGATCTGGAGACGCTTTATGAAGGCTGTATTGATTCAGGTATACTCAAAACTTGAATTCAATGTTTGTGATTAACAGGTCCAAAGAAGTTCTTGTGGCTTAGCAGTGAAGAAAAACTGATGCTTCAGAAAGTGAGATTTTTCAAGAGTGTTATTTTATCTCTAATAAGGATTTTCTCTGTACAACAAATGCTAAATTTTCATTTACTGAAGATTCTTTTAATCAGTTTACCTTGTTTCTACCACCACTCCTACTATAAAGAAGAAATGCTATGTAATTAATTACCAACACACACTTTCAAAGATCAGAGTTACAGCCTGTAGAAAACTCCATCTCTGGCCATGTCTGAAAACCACTGCTGGTTTGAAAATCAGGCAACACATAAGGATACAATAAAGCAAAGCAAAATGTAGCACTCTTGTCCCTATAAAAAGATGTCCCCACATAACATACATCACAAAAGAGAGTCCACATATCTGTAAGCACAGGAAGGAGAGTTTTAATTTAAATTGCAGTACCTGATTAATAACTGAATATTCAAACAGGCAACTCGTAAGAGTCACCTTGGAAATATTTCCTACCGCTCTAGGTGAAGGTACTTGACTTACTACGCATGTTCTACATCCAAGCAAACACTCCCAGAAAAGCTCCTCCTCATCACAAGTAAAATACAGTTTGACACGGTTGATGTAATCTGAGCTTTTAACATGAATTAACAGCAGAGAATAATCTAAACAATAGCCTGCCATTCAAAACAATATACTCAGAAATAATACTTTAAAAATTACATAACTAAAAAAAACCCCACCCCAAAACAAAACACCAAACCAAACCACACCAACCAAAAAAAACCCCAAAACCACAAACTTAAAAAAACCCACATAAAAGACTACAAATCTGTATCTCACTCAGGTACAGCCAGCATATTCCTGAAAATCTCTTTGAATGCAATTTGGACACCCTTTCCACCACGCAACAAACATTTTCTAATTAGAAATTAAACTGTTCCTGACTGTTGCCTACAACTTAATATTTTGTATTAGTCTGGAGGCAAGCACTGTGTGTTAAGGTTGAATAACACTCCCACTAACAGCAGCCACACTAGAGAGGACAGTTTGACAATAGATTCCCACACACCTGCAGGTGCATAAAAGAATAGCTGAGATTTTCCTTTGAACTAGAGTTTCAAGAAAGGAAGCACACTTTATCAAACATGAAGTTATAAAGAACCTGACAACTGTTTAAATAAACACATTTCCAAAGCAAGATAAAGCACTGTGCTAAATACAATTACTGTCCTGGATCAATCTATATAACAAAACGAAGACTAAAACAAACACACAAAATTCTGCAGAACACCTGTATCTGTCTCCCTGTTAAAACACATACTGACAACCCATGAAAACTAGTCAGCTTCTCTCCACATAAAGGCAGCCTACAACAGCCTATTGGTTCAGCAAATTCAAACACTGGCACTCCCTAGGTCCTACATAACCCAATCTACTAGGAAAATTGTAATTATGTGACAAGGTGTGTGGAATGTTCCATACAATAACATGGCAGTTCAGAGCTCTTAAAAGAGGGCATAAAAGCTGCAGTATGTCAATTATACCACAATAACTGTGCAACCTCAGACCTCAAACATTCAAGGTCAGCCAATTAGGTACAGTATTTTAAAGTTTAAACTTGGTGCTGAGGAAGGGAAAGAAATTAGGACATTTGTTTTCATACATCAAGTGAGAACAGATAAAAACTACAAAAAATGCCCCTATACTTCTCTTCACCTAGGGATGCCCTATTTTGCTGCAGCCTACATCTGAAGTTCAGCTTTGATTCCCTAAACACAGCAGCAGCAGAACAGAGAGATAGTAGAAGCCTGAATGTCATCTGACAAACAGGTCCTTGAAATAAGTTTAAGAGGAAAAAAATTTTAAAACCTCACAAACCATATATGTTTAGTAAGTATGATCACTTTATATTTCTAGTTAATGTGTAAGAGCTTAAAAGATTGAAGCACAGCGTTGACTACCATTCAACATCACTTCTCATTTCTTAACTAGGTAGTGACAGTTTCAGAACCTTGGCAGCTGTTGGACCAATGCAATCCTTTACCAAAAAGATTAAATTTTACCTTGCCTTTCAATTTGGTATCTCCATTAAGGTTTAAAAATAAAATAAAATACTTTAGGCATTCTCAAGTCCCCAAAAAGGGGCTTTCTAGTTCACCCAAATAGGTCTCACCCCATCCTGATGTATTCTGCAGCCTAATGCAATGACGTGAGTGCCACAGTAAGAACTTTTTTCCATCCAAGCTATTTAAGCGTGTGGTCTACCCATATGTTCCTTTACATGACTGCGTATCATTCACAGAAAGAGAGAAGATAGGACATAGTAGGTATCCCCTACTTTGAAATCGGTCTTCTCTTACCTGATGAAGGTGCCCAAGAAAGGCCTGGGCCTGGGCTGTAGAGATTGCTCCTCCGACAGGCACAGGCTGCTTTTGAAAGTCCAGGCCATTTGTTTGCGTGCCTGGAGAGAGAGAGATATTAAGAACTATTAGGTGTTACTTTTATGAAATGGAATAAGAATTAATATTCCAAAGTCTTCTGCTATTTTCTCAATACTATGTAGCAGAAAAATATTCTGAGAGTAACAAGAATTGATGGTTTTTACTGAAAGGGGGGGTGGGGAAGCAGTGTCACTTCCAGACTTTGGTAATATAGCATTTGTCAGCTGAACAAAATCAACACAATATTTTCTTTAGCCTCTATCATTTTACCTCCTCTATGTACACTATTATCGCATCATTCTCTACCATGGTTTGAGAACCAAATGGGTGCGTGCAGCTAAGGTTAAACTGTGTTTCCATTTTCCATGCACTCTATCCAGCAGCTGAAGACTACCTTCAAGTTTAGAAAGTGACAAGAACAAGGTTCATATAAAGTCACCTTTCATTAAAGACAGGTTAAATAGTACTTGATGAAAACAGAAGTACAGTATATACATAGCAGTTATGGGCCACAGTTTTACTCTTTTGATAAAAGATATCTCCACATTTCCATGACTATTTGTGAGGAATAAAATAACTGCCTGGGCTTGCTTTTACTCTCACCCATTTTCATGTAACCAAGAACTGATTATTTTCCTACATTTTTTGTTGTCTTCCTAAACAGCTCAGAAAACATGAAAACTCCCAAACTATCCCCAAATAATCTGGTTGTGAGGACGAATGAGGTAAAAGCCAAACAAACAAAAAACCCCAACAAAACCACACAAACCCAACACAAAGAACATTTTTTCCACAAGATATTACCACAGAATTCTGTTCTGCCAAGAGGAACTATAACTACAAACTTTTAAGAATCATTCTGTGCAGAGATGATAAAATCAACATTAGGGATTATCAACAACTGCTTTTGTAGGTTGAGTATTACTACCTACAATGGCTAAGAAGGGAGACTCAGAGTGTATCAGGCTGTGTGGAATTTCTAGAACAGATGATGCAATCTTAAAAACTGCATGACTGAAGTAAAACCAGCTTTTGACTTGCATGTTTACTCTTCATGACAATCAGATTTTGTTCAGTGCCAACGGACAGGTGTTCAGCTAACTCCTACTTCAAAATTCCTTCCATTGTCTACATTTTTTGCCATAAAAATCTAGGTTATCTACAAAGCAAAAGAGAGTCACAGTTGTTAAACAACAACAGGGGTTTGCTATTCCTTAGAAACATCTGCAGAAGCAAGCAGGCGTAAAATCTGATTAGTGAAATACACTATCCAATATTTTACATTGCTATGTTGACCTACAAACAGCTTACACAGATGAAATTTCCAAAGATGGGGGTCACTGTTCAATTAAATACAGATACAATGTAGGTAGTAATGCTTTCTAGCACCCATGTAAAGCATACCTTTGATGCATTTCTTGGGGGAAGAGATGGTCTCAAGTTTTTAATTCTATGCTTTGGGCCAGGGTTTACAGACTTAAGAGACACATGTGCAATCAAAGATCTACAGATATGTTAAAAAATATTCAAATTTTAAACTACATAAAATTATTTTGTTTAATGAGTCTAGAATTCCAATCCAAAGTGAATGGAAGGACTATCACTGGTCTGAATTGATATTGAATAATGCAGTTTGGTTGCATTTCTCCAAAGAAAGGTAGATAAGAAGGTCTGCTGGAAAGAGCTAGGAGAGTATCATCTATTTTCATTCTTTCCAGTAAAATGCAGAATCTTCTCAATGCAGAAGGCCAAAGGGAGTGGGAAGATGACTGGGTAAATACATAAAAATATTTCCTGACATCCAGCTACTGTAATTCAAAGGAAACAATCTACCACCTCCTCATTTAAGCAGATGCTTTGAATCAGTTTTCAACCTGTGGTCAGGGACCCCCAAGTAGGGAAAAAAAAATACAGATAGAAAAACCTACTGTAAGGCAGATATTCCTCATTCCAGTCAGAAACTTGCAGGGGTCAAAAAATTATCCATTTCTGAGAGGACTAGCTGGAAGCCTCACCTTAAATAAACAGGTGAAGCTGTTCTACTTAACTGTCTTCCAGAAAGAGCCTCAAATCACAATACCATAATTAAAAGAGCACTGCTGTGCATGTGTGCAGAATAAATGCTCCAGTTAGCATTTCTGCTCACTCTCAATATGGAAATTTGAAACGAGCCTCCTAAGGTTGACAGTTTTGAACAAAGCAAGTTCCAGGACTGAGCTTAAAATCTCCATGGGTCCCAAAAAACAGTTTAGACAGGTACTGAGAGAAAACAACACTTTCTTTAAATTCGACTTTGAAGAACTCCAACTCCCTCTCTCCATGACTCCCAAAACCAAACTCAGAGCAAAAAAAACCCCAAAAAAACCAAACACCAAAAACCAAACCCAAACCACACCTGTTCACTCTCTGTCCTACTTGTATCTTAAGCTTTCTTTGGTGTTTGGAAGTACAGTGTCCCTTCCCCTTCGTATGCAGCCTTAGTTTTGGAAGGAATGCTATCCAGGCTGCTTCCATTTATCACAGGATGCCTATGTCTTTTGAAGAACAACAGGGAAAATGAACTTTCAGTCCAGCATATGAGAAGCCTTGCTCTTAAGGTGCTCATAAAGATGTGACACCACTCCTGTGGAATCCGAGAAATCTGATAAGGAGACTGGAAAATGGAGCTGTCTGAAGCAGATAGTCAGCACATTGTAAGGACATGAAAGGACCAGAACACCACTTCTGCTCAAGATAAGAGTTAAATGCAAAACCCATGGTGATTAATAGACACGGCAGATGCAATCACAACTATTGTGATTTTAACAATCTGAAGTATTTATGCCTTTTCCATCTCCATCCCAGCTCCCAAAACTGCTGAAGCTGATCTAACAGCTCACCAACACCAAAAAAAACCCAGGCGTGGGAACTCTATCTCCCATCTCTCCTTTCTTCTTGGTTCCAACTACAATGTCCCTGTCCTGCCCCTTCTGGTAGTTCATAGACACAGCAGTAAGCCAATTCACCTTTCTGAGTAGAAAATTATTCATGCGAACTATTCCTTTTATCTTTTGGCCAAGCTAGTTTTCTGCCAGTTATGTGAGATGAATTAACTCACCTTAGGGCCCAGCAAGCAGTAGATAATGCAAAGCAGGGGAGGTCAGAGACATGGTAGTAGGGAAATCAGCCTCCCCCACCCCCCTCAAGTTGTTAAGACTGAATCAAGCTGTAGGATGAAATTTCACCCTTGTAGCCCAAGTCCAATGCAACTTAAGCACGTTTAAATTCTGGCATAAATTCAGCCATGTGGTTGGTTACTGCAGAGAGTCAGTTTGGATGAAGACTAACAGAAAGTGCAAGTAATTTTCAGCCAAATCAAATCTTTGAACCATCTCACTCAGTGCCACTCCAGGGAAAGAAAGGAACAGAACACTAAGTACCAGGACACCCTGAACATGGATTAGTTTATCCTGTCTTGGAATTGTACCTGCAGAGGGTAAAGGCATAACAAAATGCAGTCGGCAAGGTAACATTGCACCTACAGTCAGGAGAAGAACATACACTCAAAATCCAAGATCATAATCATCAGACTTTACTCTGAGTTTACAAACTACCTAAGAGAGGAAGAGAAGTAAGGAACTACAGGTCTGGGGAGATGTGGTATAAGGTGCACGAAAGAACTCAGGAAGGGAAGGCAAAGAAGGAGAAGGAAGATTTCAAAACTAACTTGAGTGGGTATCTGCACTGTGCTCTGGGAGACATCTTCCAGCAACAGCAGTACATTTCCCCATCTCTCTCCCTCTCTCTGTGTGTGTGCATTGAGAGAGCAAGAGATATCCCCAACACTCAGAAGTTGTTGATTCCTTATCCACACTACTAATAAGTTTAGCATTGATATTTGCCAGAATTTTAGCAGTTAAAGAATATTTAACAGTCCGTCTCCCACTCTTCTGACTTCCTTCTTATGGAAACTGGAAAAAAAATCAGTCTCTGGAAATAAAGCAATGCAAACAAGAATCCTTAGAATCCTTCCAAATAGTACACTTATAAAAAATATTATTTTGCTGCTATGTCAATGCACATCATAATGTTATAGTTTCCATAGACCTTGTCTTTCATAGTACTGCATTCACACAGCTTTTAAGAAAGAATATGCATTAAACAGATTGAGTTGTTTTGGAAATTTTCACGCTGCAAACTATAAAAAGGAAACCAAAAGGGCTATCCCATTTACTGTAAGACACTCTTCTTACTTCTATTTTTTCCAGTAGATACTAAGTAGACTGTCCACCCACAACTGATTCTGCAATATTGACAACCAGTTGATCAATTCACGTTCTTGTGAAAACACCCATCCCACAACTCTTTTTGTTGTTGTTGTTTTTAATTAGCCTGAAATATGGGTTGCTTTTCAGATGCTTAAAAGGGGAGTCCAGTTAGCACAAAAATTTTGAAGTTAAAATCTGTTTTGGGCATTTTATTGTGACCAATGTATTCAGGGGACTTTACTATGCTCCCTAAATAGTCCAAGTTAGAAATACAAAACCCTAATTTGTTAACTTTCATGAAACTTAGCTGTTAGCTCAGAGAACTACTGATGTTAAGTCATCTTTACCAGTGGCAACTATTTTTTTTTCCCCTGAGAACACTAGCTCTGCCAAATGTAAATTCTATGCCCTACAGTAATTTCTCTTAAAATTTTCAAGTTGCATCAGCTTACTACAGTCTAAAACAGGAATGACCCAAACAAACATCCACTGAGGTTCAAAAGATAGACTAGTAGTGTTTACACAGCAGACTCAAGTGATTTACAAATGTCACTGAAAAATACACAGTTACAGAAAGTTATAAAAACAAGAACTCTGAGTGTTTATAAAAATCATCTTCACACATTTTGCTTCAGAGCTTATGCTCCCCAGACAACCAATGGCACCTCCAGTTCCTTAGCATCCCAGCTGAAAGCTGACTTCTTTTCGCTAAGTATGCACAGAGCCCAGAACCACCATCTAAGTACCTTGGATCAGAAGCCTAAAATAATATTCTGTGAGCATTCGTTTCAGGGTTTAACATCTGCCAGTTGACTAATGCAACTGATGCTTGAGCCCCTAAAGAACATCACAAATGCCATTAATTACTATTTCCAGTGGTTTATGAGCACTATGTTTAAAAACAAAACAATGACTGCAGAACAAAGGGTCCTCAAAAATTCTAGATTATTTTAGTTTGCATCATTTAAAAAGTCAGGAAGCAAAACTGAAAGGAACAACTGGGAACATTTAAATTACAGAAGCAATGTTTGCAAAAGGTCCAAACACCAGTAAGAGACAAAGTTTTGCAATAACTACAAAACACATGCAGCTTTACAATCCATCCATTTCTTTACACCATTACCGCCACCTTCACACTGATGAAGTATTTGCCTAGGAGAGCAGAGCCAGGGTTCTGCTGAAGCAGATGCAATACTTCTGTGATAATGGACTACCTTTGAATAAACCAAGTCCTCCTCTTTAACAGCTCAGTTTAGGTGAAACTGCTAGTTAAAGCTGCACTTAAGGAAGTGCACTGGGAACAAACTCTTTCAAGAAAGCGTATGCAGGGAACTGTGGTCATACAGATCAGAAAGTCTGAATTTTCCCAGAAGTTTACACATACCCTCCACCTACAAGGATCTGATAGGGATATTTAAAACCATTGTTCTCTTGATGCTATTTATTATTGTGAAATATTTACAGCCCATATGTTTTTGAAAGAATGTGTTATATCATCCTAAAGCAGTATTAAATACATAATAAATCATTTTTATACATATAAAGAACTAATACCTCTCCTATTACAAATACAACACAAATTATAAAAACTGAGATGCCAGTAACAAAACACACAGTAATAAGTGAGCAGAATTCCTTTTGACTGACCCCATGCATTGGCAGAAAACATCCAGCCTCTCGGATCAGTATCGGGAGCATTCAGTCACTCTTAGCTGTATTAAAGCCTTGCACAAAGAATGAGGAGACAGCAGCATAAAAATAAATAAATTGTTAAATTTCATCATGACTCCAGAGTTTAAAATAAAACTCTTAATATTGAACCAAGAGGAGGAAAAGTAATTTTCCTCATACAAGGTAACTAGAATTCTCTCAAAGCAACAAGTTCCTTCTCATTAAAATTTTCTCTTCCCAAATGCTACTCTGAGCTCAGAAAAGATTCTGAGTTAGGTTAAACTATGTACTTCCCATTCAGAACTATCCTTTCTCTTGCTTCCAAAATGAATATTAAATTACCTCTAGAAAGGAATTAAAGCATGAGATAGCATGATTGAGTTACAGTGGCTTAACAAGCTTCTTCAGTGGGCTTAGAACTTGGCCACATCTTAAGGATGTGCCAAAAGGCATGTTAGCCCTGACACAAAGACTATTCTTCCCCAGATGAATTTCAAGATTCTGTTCTAATACAGGAAGAAATTAAAGCCGGCTAACATTATTATTTTTTTAAATGTAGAGAAATGATGCTTCCTCCCTTTGCCTAGTTCTTGAGAACTGTTGTGAGAGCTTGAATGAAATCTAAAATGGAAACAAGATCAGCCAGTGGCCCACATCTGTCAGGGAAAATTTCAACCCAAAAATAAATGACAAAGTTAGAGGTGCTGAAAGTATGTTCTGCCAGGAGAAAAAAGATACTATTTATGGAGAGCTAGTGCCACCAGACCTTCCATAAGATCAGAAACATTACAGATTAAGGAAGTGGGGAAGGGGAATCCTATATACAAAGTATGGGTAGTGCTCTGATATAGTGGGAGTGAATAATGCCCTGCATGCAGTAGGGTTAATGATAAAAGCATTTCCAAGTCTAAAACAGCAGGTGTGGAGATGGGGTTTTCTTTCTTTGTTGGTGTGGGTTGTTTTGGGTTTTTTTTAATTCCTGTAAACTGGTAAAGAAATTTTGCTTTTAATATTCATTCATTTCGAACAGAAAATATCTGTGCACAAATTCATCATTTCTTACCTGTGTTCCCATCCCCACTCTCCATTGATGGTTTACTGGTTTCTGACGGATTGTTCATTCTTGAGTCTGCATTAAAACAGAAATAAAGATAAATTAATACAACAGAAAAACCCCAAATCTATTCATACCTTCTTGTCCAAGGGAAGTACAGAACATCAGGAATTCGATATGTACTTTACCCTAATTCAGATTATAACACAAAAGGAATAATTCGAAGCAGAACACAATAACGAATCTTCCAGATAAATACTGTTTCAAAATTTTTGTATGTCGTTATTCCCGTACATGAAAACATGGTGTTAAAGGAATAAAAGACAGCATGCTGGAGGGCAAAGATAGGTAGGAACTTAATTTTCAGTACAATGAAAGTCATAGAAGCAAAAAAACAGGGCGGGGGGGGGCAGGGAGGAAGGAACAATGATTACATCAAGATTCAAAAACATTAAGTCTGACCACCATGGCCTACATTGCTCTTGTGGGTTTTTTTTTTTTTCCCTCATAAGAGAAAGGAAATTCAGTCATTATAATTAAACAGATGCCATTTTTCTAATACTGCATTTTTATTTTACAGGAATGTCACTGATATTGTTATTTTACGTTTCCTATACATTCATGCAAAATATAAAATAATTCTTCTTCCTTCTCCCTCTGGATGAATCTATTAAAAAGTCTGCTCTTGGTTTCAAAGCTTGTCAGCTGAATATAGCGCAACGCAGAGGCCTCTCCAGATGGCAGACAGAGAATATAGTTTCCTTATATAGGAATCTATATAGGTGTTCTGTGTACAGCATCAGCTCTCCAGCTTATTACCTCCTCATTCCTTGCTACCAATCTCAGTGTGCCACATTATCACAAACCAGAACTACAAAAAGAATCTCAAGACAGACCAGTTCATAAAATAAAGCATAAGCAAATCCTTAAGCACATTCTTCCATTCCCATAACCAGTTAAATGCAAGTTCAATGAGCTCAAAATGAACCCTTTACTCCAGGATATTCTTTTGCTAGGTGCTTAAAAGGTTACCCCTGTCACATAGTTCCATCAAAGCAGTGATTTCCAAAATACCAATGGGCTGAAGAGGAATACAGTAACAGCATTAACTGCCGCACCTTTCTCCCAGCTACTTCCAAGAATGCCCAGACAATTCAGTGCTGGGCAGTCTATGAGAGTTGGACTATTGCCATGTATGGTCACCTGCTACTGCCCAGAGAGACCAGTGCCACCCTTAGGCTATCAGAACCAGGGGCGACGGCAGCAGAGGCAGGTAAGCAGGAGCCAGGAGGAACGAAGCGCGTGGACAGGACTTGAATGAAAACAGGAGGTACAATGAAGCCTGGCTGGGAGTGGCGAGTGGGAAGAGGAGGGAACTTGTTAGAAATGCAGCATGTGTGAGAGAAAAGATAAGAGACATCAACCTTGGAAAAACTCCAATAAGCAGTTAGGAAACACAATTTAAGACACGTCAATATTTTTAAAACAAATGTAATTTTCCATGTAAACAACTGCTGCAGATAAACCCAGTAGGGCCTAGAAAACCCAGAGGACTGTAACAAACAGGAATCTTCCCCTGACAAGTTAACCTCTCCAGAGCCTCAACTCTTCTCAGAAAGTTCCTACGCCTATGTTTAAATCTTTCAAATGTCAGCCACATGTAAAAGAGATCTGAACTATCAATGTTACTCTTAGTATAAAAGCAGATGTGTTAAACTACATTTTGAAAGGGAGAGTGAGGAGAAACTTTTCCAGCTCACTGCTGCTGGCCCGCACTTCAGCAAAAGGCTTTTGCCCCATTTTTAACCACCTCTGCTTAGCGATTCAAGCTACAAGTTCACAGTCTTGAAAGACAGAGGACTTCCAGGGTTGCAGATACAAAACCTATTATTTCCTGGCTCCTTATTCTGTCATTTTCCATGTTTGGATTGTACGATCCACACTCCAGAAACAGAACACAGGCTCCACTGCACAGAAACGTTTGTTGTCGATGTACCACTCCCTGCTGATAGATCTGTGTGTAAAACAAATACAAGTATGTTTCTATCGAGGAGTTGTGTGTACCTTAAATTGAGTTTATTGTTGTGGCAACAGCACGTTTATTTAAAGTGATTATAGCCAACACTCATTTGATAAACAGCATTAGTTCTTTCCTTGACACACAGCTGGCTACTGAAATTAGTTTAGGTTGAGAGAACACTGAAGGGGAGACTTCTCTTTGGACACAAACATGAAGAGTCGTCATCCAACAGGAAAGTGAGCAAAGAGGGTTTAGAAGTCCAATACATTTGGTTATGGAAACCAAGCTAACTCATGGGGCTATTGAACAGTGGATGTATTTTTTTAAGCCCAGAGCACAAAGATAGCCTGAGCTCATGATAGCACTGACTACAGAAGGGAAGAGCACAGGTTGAGAAGATCGTCTCTCAATAACGTGGGATCCATTCACTGAACCACTTCAGAAAGCTCCTGCAAGAAAAACAACACAGGGCCTCCCGTGCTAGTTTATTGCAGCAACTGAGGTATTAGAGCCAGGGTGCAGGATACTAATGGTAGAATAAACAAAATAAACCCAGAGAGGGGACGCAACTGTCCTATGCACAGAATTCCAAGCAACTTTGTGACTGTTCCCTCTGTATGAGTGGGCTCATACAACAAACCTTCCTGCATGACCAGCAAGTTTGCTCAGGACAAAGTTATATCTATACAGATCTCTTTTTATAAAGCAACTAAGAAATGTTTTTCTTTCAGGCTATGCTGCAAAATAAATCCTTTTTAAGAAAAGGTTTTCAGTGTTTCCTAGTACTAGACATGCACATAAAGTTCACTCAACTACCAAAAGCATGTCAAAATGAAGACTATTTTATTGTAAAGATCCATCCCTAACAAAAGACTTCAAACATTGCTATTGCAAAAAAGCATCAAGTTGGATGAAGAAACGCCTTTCTGGTACTGCTCAGGTTCAAATGAAGGATAGCATCCATTATTTCACCAGCTGACTATTTCTTGTTCAATCTGCAGGCCTTCTGCATGTAAAGCATCAAGAACAATGCCGCTATTTCCATTGCAAATAGTATGACATACATCTGAAGCACAAAACTGTTACCAGCAAAACAGACATATATCCGCAGGATACTAAACTTACGGATTCATTATACATCAAATGAAAAGATTATTTGTTTATAAATGCTCATACAATTTCTGCTTTAAAGTTAAAAGAATAAACAAATGAAGTGGGCTAAAAAAACAAAACAAAACAAACCCCAAATCATAATGCCGTCATCTTTTCTTTCTCCTTTAGATTTTACTCGGGTTTTAAATAAAGGCCCTGGGCTACAACTCCTGCCAACATTATCTAAAAACAAACTCCACAGAAGGAAGGATCGAAAGCAGCAGGTGTATGATTGAAATCAAACTCTCAGGAGTGAATACATTCAGTACTGCTACTCGGCTAGCAGGTCTGAGGGTGTCGCAAGGCAGTGCTGTGCCAGGCTCCCACACACCCTCCGTAACATTTCAAAAGGTATTAAAAAAAAAAGCAGCAGACGCTGGACCAACCTGGAGTATTAGGGACTGTACATAGCTAGTAAAACACAGAAAATCTTAACATGGAATATATTATTATTTCCTTTCACCCATTAAAGTGAAACTGCCTAATACTCCGTCAGCATCAGCAAAAATGATTCATTGAACTTTGGTATTTCCACATACATCAATGTGAGTGAAAACATGCCAAGATTGCACTAGAAATTAATTTTCAAAAATATTTGTTTCTGACTATGAAGTATTTTCAGATGTCTGCTTTAAAATTTACCATCCAAAAATATATTGTCTTACTCTGACATATAAGTTCTTACATGAACTTATATAATGGAATCAAAATAATAATAATAATAATAA